CAAAACTACATTTGTGTGTCGTCCGTCGTCCCCGTCCGTCCCCCCCCCAAGCCTTGTCTTGGATACAAAAAGTAGACCTTTTCCTGTATGGATCCTACAACACAGCCCAGTTCCACTTTCCAGTGGAGGATTGCACAGCAAGGGCAGATTCCACTAGACACTGTGCTCCAATTTCTGTCTGACATAAGCAGTAGGCAGCTTGGATCCCTAGACAAAATACGTACCAGAAATGTCTTAAAACATAGATGTTGGAGGTACATTTCTCTTTATAATTTCTTACATCTGTTGTAACAGAATGTGTCAGCAATAGCTGCCCGCTTAACATCCAAGCTATCAGGAGTAGTTAGAAATTTCTTATACATTGATTTATTGCAAAATTTAAATTCAAGGAAAAAACCTTTGTATGTATAAACACAGCAGCTTCAATTAGAATAGCTCCTGTGGTTTGATATAGATGTTCTAATCAGGGTCAGAAATTCAGAAGAGACAATATCCCAGAAGCATCATCACCAGCAATGCGGGGGAACCCACAGGGAAGTCCCAGCCAAATGAGGAAGAGAGAGTGATGCCAGGTCCAGATCTGACCCAAAGATAAAGTTATTTCTGTTGCTAGCACTTGTTGGACAGACACAGCAAGACCGTGCAAAACTGAAACTATGATGGCCAACACTCATCCCCACCGGCCGTTTTTTAGAGTGTAACTCTCATATGAAAAACATGCATTCCCTGCAGAAACGTCATCATGTGAGTCCTTATAAGAACAGCATCAACTCCCAAATTATGAGGTTAGTTAAGAATCTTGTAAAAAATCCAAATATAACTAAAAGACTCAAAGCACAAAATTTAGTTAGTCAAGTGTTTCAGAGAGAAGACAGTCATCTTGAGGGAAATGACCAAACACATGTAACAACTAAAACAGACATAGAAGCTGCTAGAACATAATTGTGAGAAGCAAAGCTGCAATTGAGAATTATTATGACAATCACAGAACCACCCTGCAATTCCTGAGATACCGCATCTTTCTCTATGTGCATCCTAATTGTAAGTGAACCAAGATACTTATGTATTCACACCCTAACTGCTCCGCTCACTTCTGGTTTGTATTGTAAATACTATTCTTGCTTTATGGGTTTTTTCGGTTGTCTTCTTCGGTTTTTTTTTTTTTTTTTTTTTTGCCTTAACATTCATTAAAGCATATTGAAATCATTATTTTTCTGTTTACTCTAGATCCAAGAATTTGACTGCACCTGTGAGAAAGAAGAATAAGCTATAACAACCATGTCAAGAGGATGCAGTGTGCTTTTGTCTCATTTGCATCAATTAGGTCAAGATAATAGGATCAGTGGACCCATCCTGTTCTAATATTATCTCAGCATATCAGGCAACCACATAATCTCTAAAAAGATGTCAAGGAAAGTACAGCTTAATTCTCCTACTATAGTCCTCTAAGCTTAGTTGTTACAAATTTAATGACCCAGCTTCTTCTATGGTGTCTTACAGAGATAGCTCCACTAGCACAGATTTAACCACAGTTGGTGGCAGACTACACCTCTAAATACAAAGCAAGTATTTCACAGTTTGTGCAGCAGTTTAAAAGTTCGGTACTGTAAATAAAGTAGTCTTGCTTTTAAGAACTGAACAGGCTTAATCTGAGCTTTTGGATACATAAAAAGGTAGTTTACAAGTATTGAAGTTTCCTTCCATATGTGAGCTAAGGATTTTGAAGCATCCTAACATCCATCAGCAATGGAAAAACAAATGGCAAAAGATGCAGATTAAAAATCTGCACTGCAAGTTCCTACAAGTGTTGTAAATTTTATTTATCAGTCCAGAGACTGACATTTTGCCTGAGTAGATAAACAAAGCACTGGAGTTGAATGGTATTTACCTGCAGATCAAAATGCTGATTTTAGAATCAGTTTTAGACTCTTTACTAAAATATCGCCTATTCTTTAATACCGTGTTTTTTGGCTTCAAAGGAGACCAATTATTTTAGCTGTTTATTGATATTATACATTTTACTGCAGAGAGCATCCACTTTATCTGCAACTAATCCAGGTGCAAGGAACCTCTCTTAATCCTTGCAAAGCACCTCCGAGAGAACAGAGCACTGGCCTGGGGCAATGGGACCTGCATCTCTCAACACGCCTTATGAAATTGGGCAAGCCACTTACCTTCTGCTTCACTTTTCCATTCCCCACCCCACCCCCCTTGTTTATTCAGGCTATAAAGGCTATAAACACATGGAAACAGGAGCCAATCTCACCATTAGTATTAGAAAGGCCAGTAAATCAGGTCTTCTCTTCAACTGGGGTCAGCACAGTGCTGGGATACAATAAAAAGGGCTATTTGAGGGCTTACTAAATCTGTGAAATTAATATACAAAGAGTATACAACTTGTAAGTGTTGTTCTTTCTTCCTTCACCTCAGGTACCTGCTATCTACTCTCAACTCCAATATTTACTGAAACATTTTATTTACTGAAAAACTATGTAATGGGGCACATGTGTGTGTACGTGTGTGCTAGCGTGTACATACAGAGAAAGATGCAGAGCAACTGACAAAAAAAGCTAATAATTCAGCCGGGGACTAAACCTCTTCATTAATTTTGAAGCTAAATTATGGATGCTCATTAACAAGTTGAGAGAAAGACAACAAGCCTTCACTCTAGCTCTCGCTGTTGTGTTCCTGGACGAACGCCGACAATCCCAAGCGCTTTCAGCGCCGAACAAGGGGGAGGAAAGCTTTTCCTTCCCACTCGTTTCAAGGACTCCCGATTGCACAGCAGGCTTAATTACTACACTAACTACAGATCCTTACCTGTGGTGACAAAGAGGAAAAACAATCTTTCTTGTACACATCTATCAGGGAAGATGTTCTGTCATTATCTTAGTGGTACTTGCCTGCACCGCCCAACGGTGCATGAAATTCTTCATTTTAAGGAATAGAGGCATTCTGCTTTGCCACAACAGAGTACCAAGAAGCAACCATGCAGCAAGGACTGGCAGCCACACTAAGTGGTGGCCATGCCTAGTGCATCCGCTAAGCAGGACACTAAGTGCAAAGTTTCTCCTTTTTACTATCCCTGCTGGATTGGGGGAAAGAGAGCCTTAAGAGTCCCACTGACGTAAGATCCATGTGGGTCTTGTGACTTGGAGGAAAGGTCACTGGAATAAGCTTTCAATTTTCCTCTTTGTGTACGGTTTCAATGTTACTTTAACACTAAAATGCATCAGGCACTATTTAGGGTATATAGTTCATCCTAAAAGACACCTTTTGCAGCACTGTAACGGGTCCTAAACCCATTACATTTTTTAAGGCTCCTGATCAACTCTTTAGGTTCACGTGATTAATCAATATAACAAATCCGCCTTTCTCAAATAAATAAAAGGGATGGCGTTCATTAAAAAAAACCAAATAAAACAAAAAGTTTCTAAATGCAGTTGTATTTGACGTCTTGTATTCCAGAAAAACAACAGCAGACTTTGGAAAAAGCAGAAGACCTCTCACTTTCAAAACACATCATTCCCTCAGGCTGAGTCACACGGATCTCCAGCTTTAAAAAGAGGAAAAATCTAAAAAGCCTCTCTCCTATAAATCTGCATGAGAAAGCTTAATTTGTAGCTTTTGAGGAAGTTGGAGCACTGACGACAGGCTTCTGCAGCATAATTATAGCTACAGCACCGTTACAGAGACACAATAGCACAAGCACGTGAGAAGCACTGAAAAACAAAATTATGGCAGGAAGTGATGGAATAGCTCTGAAGGTCACCACTGAGAGACAACCAGAGCAAGCCACAATTTCCCTTGCCTCAGGACTATAACTGAAAAAAATTCTTAAAGAAACTTGTACTGGCGAGGTCTTTGGTCTGCTCAGCTGAGGCTAAACTGGGTTGCCACCGGGAGAACTGAAACAACGTTCTCCAAGAAAATTTGCAAAACATTGTAACAGAGAATTATTGAAGCATCATGTTTCTTAAATTTACTTCTACTCATCTCAGCACTCACTTTGGGTTTGGGTGGTTTTAAACCAAGTACTTTTATTTGCAATGTCAGACTATAAATTTTCACAACAGGGACCGCTATTTCAGGACCTGTGCTATGAACTATCTACTTCAGCTCTGAAAAGGCAAGCAAATACCCCTTTTTTACACAGCTCCTTTCCCATAAGCAGGGTACTTCACACCAGAAAAAAAAAAAAAGGTAGAAATTGGCAATGCAGAAAATATCTAAACTTTATTAACAAGTAATGAACCTCATTTCTGCATTCCCTCCGGACTTGTTTTTCACTCCTAAAACATAACATGAAACTAACACCTAAAACCAACATTGGCCAAAAATAATTAATAAAATTTGTTTTGTTTCTGCAATGGTAATGCTGTGAGTGGAATTTAAAATCAGTAAGTCTGGGTTAGTTCTGCATTACCAAACGAAAATGGTCTTTTTTCGTCTGTAGTTAGTTTCTTCTGATAGGAAAAATAAATGATATCATATTAATTCTTAAAAGGAAACACACTCGGTTTTCTTTAAAAGAAGCAGATTCCACTTTCGCAGGCCAAAACCAAATCTTTTTTCTCTTCAATGGAATTATAAACTAATAGCTAGAAATTATAAACACAGTATAAACATACAGCTAGCAAAATGAATGCAATACAACTTTCCAAAGTACTTTACTACTTCCATAATAAAAACCTACAAGAGAGCCCAAGGGACTTGGATAACAGTGGAATTTGTTGTCAATTACGTTATAGAAGTTAGCACCAGCTACCTTTATGTAGCACGGCTGCCACACTGAAAAGCTTCTAGAAGAAAGGAGACTGGCAAAATTTAAATATTTTTAAAATGCAGCAAGGCAGTGGACAACATAATGGTATTTTAGTGTTTTCTCTTCTATTCCACAAGGCCTTGCAGAAGGGGTGAGGCCAGAGTGGCCACATACACCCCAGCACCCGGCTCATGCCTCCATCACGAGGCCAGACATCCGTCACCACCAAACCCACGCAAGAAGGAACAGCCGCCCTCCTCTGCGTTGGCAGCACCCGGGGAGCCCCACAGGGAGCAGGCAGCCATGGCCCGGAGTGCCTCGGGGAAGGGGAGGGTGAAGGATGGACCGAATACACCCTCTGGCCAACAACAGGCACTGCCAAGCGCAGTTCAGAGGTTGGGTGGTGCAGAGGCAGAAGACTGGGACCTTGTTGGAGATAAGAAAAGGCAAAAAGGTGAATTGCATTCAAAGAGACTTCCCAGCTCCTGGTTTCAAAAGCACTTCTCAAGCCAGCTCACAAAAACTGTGTTTGCTGATCCGGCTGACCAGGAGGGGTGCAGGCACCCGCCACCCCCATCATTTGCTGCTAGCGACCGAAGTCATGTTTACTGTTGCCTCTTGCTCAGCATCCATTTTCCTCCTCCACCTTGCCCATCCCCATCACTCCCTGCCCTCCGGCCCTAGATCTCGCTTCTGCGTTCATGCCTCCCATGCTTCACCCACTACTTTATCCATCTTCTCCCCTTTTCTCTATCTCTTCCCACCTACCCAAGGGCTTTTCTGACATCTGCTCTCAGTCCTTTGAGCCCTTAGTTTCTTGCATCCAACCTTTTCTACTCCTCGACAAGCGGGAGGCGTGGAGGACAGAGGGAAATTGGAGGACAAGATGGGCACACCACAACAGCAAGGAGACACACAGGTGAGGCAGGAGAAGAGGAAGCAGCCAGATAGGAAGAATTTGGCTCAAGAGAAGGTTATGAGGAGTAGTGAAAATACATGAGCGTACAAGAGGGGACATATGGTGCATAGCTGCCCTAGAATTACACTCTCTGTAGGCAACTTCTACAAGATTCTGTTGACAAAATATCTTCCTAGGTAGAGCTGTGTCCTGACCCAGTTCCAGGACATTCAAGTGCTTTAATGCTGCCAGTGTTAACAGCTGCATAATCAAAGTAAGGGATTGTATTTTACACCCATAAATGATTTCCCTATCCATCAATTTGTCAACATCAAGGTACAGCAAGTTACACACCCCGTGCTCAGTGTGCCTGTATTTTCAATGCACCAAAACCTCAAGTTAACATTATCTTCACACAGCCATTACTATTCTCACACGAGTTACAGAGTCATCTTCGGATTTTACTTGCCATTATGACAAAGTTATTTTAAATTCAGCAGGCAGTTTCCTGATATTCTTCAGTATGTGGTGTTTCAAAAACCTGTCCTAGCACCACTGCCGCAGCTGCAAAGAAGCGTGCCAAGAGTGCAAAGAGCACGGGAGTTGCGTAAAGGGTAGTAGTACAAAGAGAAACGTCTGTGGAAACATAGTACAAAGCAGAGACTGGGGGGACATGGTCTAACAGAAAGACCTCCAGAAAAGGACATCTGTCTACAGCCACGATTGATGCTTTTAGCTCAACCTGGCCCATCAGGAGGTATGCGAAGTGTTGCTAACAATCAAACTAGTATTGCTGTGATGAATCATAGTGGCATCAAGTTAATACAACTCATCAGATCCTAATTAAACCACTCTATGTTGCTAATCACTGTGTGAATCTCAAGTGGTCTTTTGTAGCCTGCCTGACTCCAGTGAAGGTGGGCCAATCAATTCTCTAATGAGTCCTCACTTCTGCAAGCACTTGCACAAATGCTCTGTGGACTTTCATGCGGCCACAGTATATAAAATTAAGCAACAAAAGCTAAGTTTGGTCCAGTCTTCCTTTTTTTTTTTTTTCTTCTGATGGCATAGAAGAAAAGCATGCCTATGTAAAAACACACACACACTAGCAACTCATCAAAATAAGTTTTGTAAAATCAAGCTGATCAAATATCTGCTCTAGTGGGATTTACCTATATTCAGCTCTCTAATTGCTTCTTTCATCTTTCCACATGAAAAACAACACTTCATCTCATCTCCCAAGACTTGTTAGCTTAGGAAAATTAATCCCTTTCACAGAATTTGATAGGTGTGGATCTGTAGCACTTATAAGACAACAAAATATGCATCATTCATATCATGCAATAGATGATGTCTGCAGGATGGGAGAGAACAGACTGAAGTAAAATAGGTATTTTCCTTCAAACTTCTTTTGCATTTGGCTGAAGTGCATCAATAACTTGCCTTTCACCAGATATGTGCAGCTTTCACTTCATATGAATCAAAGCATTCTCTCCTCCCCCCCGCCTTTTTCTTTTAAAAAATGAATCACTACATTCACATTTAGCCTTCATGAAATCCAGGAGAGCCTTCTGCTACTCTTTTTGGAGTTAACAAGACCTCTGCTACTAACATAAATGCTACTGAGTAGAATCAGTTGTTTATGATGAGACTACTCTTTGTAATCCCAGCATATTTCAGTGACACACCAGAAACATCACACTTTTCTTTCTCACTGGCTCCTTGCCATTCTGCCCACATTTTCACACCTGTAAGTTTTCCCATAGGTATTTCTTTCCCATAGGCTGTGCTAACTTATCAAAAAAAAAAAAAAAAAGTATACACCTTTTCTATTGTTGTAGCGTGTAAATCCTTTTAGCTTGATCTCACCAAATTATATTAAAGTCTTACAGCCTTACGCCGAGTCTTATCCTAGGCATCTTTAGCTGAGACTCACACTTGAACTTGACCCACGAATATCAAATTGGTCATTTTGAAATATTGGCCACATATCTTGCAATCATGCATCTGAAATGAGAAATGTCCATTTGAGATCATGATAAAAAGAAGCTGAAAATGTGTTTCTTTGCCACAAGATTAAAACCAACAGACTTCAAAAGCTCATGATTTGTCTACTTTTGTCCTTCTGTTAACCAAAACCCCATGTGCTTACGATCACTGGGGACACAACAGAACTATGAATACTTCCATTAAAAACTCAGCATGTTCTTGTGAGTGCCACCACAGAAAGTACTTCACACTGTCCATCTCTACCAACTGTGATACCTATCAACAACTAGACCTGCTGCAATTTTTTTGACTTATTAGTAACATGCTCCAATTTACATTTACTACTGTTGTCCGAGAGCCTGAATGACAGACAAGAACCCTGAGATGCCAAGCGCAATGGAAACACCTAAGAGAGAAAATGTCTTCCCCATCTGTTGACTTCACTTGACCGTTCATGTTTCCACTGACTTTTGAACAACAACCGGCTTCCTCTTTGCTCTCTGTACACACCTTCACATCTCTCAAAACAAAATCAAAGGCATTCCACAAACACTTCCTTAGATAAGGGAGAAAACAAGTCTACTTGAAGTCTTCTCCTTTCTGTCCAAGTCACCCTAGATGTGAGTTAGAGGAGTCCAAAGGTCCCCTGAAAGCAAAATTGGTGTCTCCATGCATGCAGCAGGGAGTGAGAATCTGGGAATTTCAAACATGAAAGTTACTATGCAGAAATCACTTTATCCATCATGTATAGTTTATTTTGTACAGTGAATACTTATTAAGACATTTTTGTATTAGTAAGGCCTGATTTAGTACTCACACTCAATATTCATGAATATTTTGTCAGACTGTAGTAAAGGACTTAACCTCAAAATTCCCAAGTGGAAGAGATAAGAACTATCAGATGTCTCAGAGAAGAAAACTGAGAAGCATGGTTTAGGACGCAGCAATGAAATCAAAACTTTGATATTCTGAAAAGGAACAACTACTCATACAAGTAAAAACATTCATGGTTTCAACAGACAAGCCAATCTCCATTAAAACCCAAAATCTTATTATTGAAGTTTTCTCTCTACTTCATAATTTAATCACTAGGATAACTGCTATGCTATGTAAATTTAATTTTAGCAAAATAAAGTTACTAAGAATGTCTATTCAACCCATGTAAGCATACACCATTTTACAAAAAAGGACCAAGAAATAGATTACATTTCACGTTTACAAGTAATATGTCACATTTCTTCAAACTCAATATAAATCTGTTCACTGTGTTCCAAAAATTAATGAAAAATATCACCATTCTGTTCAATTTGTTTAATGTAAATTAGCATAAAGTATTTCATTCTTCATTGCCTCTTCTTGATTATATGGGAATATAATGAAGACTGACCGCATATATCGCTTCTAGGTCTCACCTTGTAACTATAAACTTAACTGAAAAAAAAAGGGAACCAGATCCATAGAAGTATGTAAGCTTTCAATTTCAAGTTAAATATATAAATATCCTAACTGTTCTGTATGCTTATATTTACCATTCTCAGGAAATGAAACACTCAAGGCACAAAACATCCATAAACACTCAAGCATCATGTGACAAATTGTAGCTAATTTTAATCATGTAAACAACAAGGGTCCATCCAACAGCACACTGAAGTAATTTCCCATTTAATTTCAGTCTTATTGAATCTCTAAAGGTAATTATAATTTAAACAAGGACTCTCTAATCCTATTGCTAAAGAAAATGCACCAGATTAAGACACATGCAGCTCCACAGCACACTCCATCTTTTGACCTTTCTTCACCAAGAAACCAACCAACAAACCCAGACACCACCTGTAACTCTACTCACAGAAAAGGGTTTCAAACCTACTTCAAAATGGCACATACTGAAAAATGATGCATGCAAACATAATTCCCGAGTTTCAACACGCACCCATCCCAGAACAGAGCTGGGAAAGGTTACGGATGCCACCACTGTCCCTGTTATAGCACCCAGGAAAGCTCTCCCGAGAAGCACACTGGTAGAAGTCTCCGCTCAGCTGGAGGAAGCAGGGAGGCAGGAACAGGCACAGAGCTCGCTCCCCAAAGATGAATTTCCAGCTGTGATACGTGAGCCTTGCCTTACAGAAACACCAGCTAAATCCAGGCTTCCTCCAATGCCTCAAAGACCCTTTAAAACGCAGTGTTAACACCCCTCAAAAAAATCGCCTATTCCTACTGAGTCTGTTCAGACCTTCTTAGTTGATTTTTCAGAAAAATCTTACTTGATTTTTCAGAAATACAGCCTTGTTAAGACCATCACTACTCTCCTGATGAAAACTCACCCTCAGTTTCATAAAACCCAGGAAATCCCTATAGATTACAGGAACGTGGGCTTAGCCAACCCAGCCTGTTTGTCATGCTGCTTCTGACACCAACACCATTCTGGGTCACTGAAGTCCTTGGGGGAGGCATACATTTGCCTGTAGTATCTCCTGCAGACATTTCCCAGTGACACCATCTACACACTTTTCCCAGCCCACATATTCCTCCCGTTCTGCAACTGCATTACCTGTGTCAACTGCAAACAG